AAGAGATTTTCTCAACCTTATTTAAGTATTTCAGAAGTGGACTCAATGGCATCCTACACCAAGGCGTTTGACAGAGTTACAGTACTTACAATTCTCTTCAGGTATTTCTTTCTATATTGCACATTGCAATTTTATTTTAACAGCTATGTTCTTATTCTGTCATAAGGCAAAATAAATTAAAAATGGAAAAGAAAGGAGAAAAAAACAAATGGGAAAAAAGCCTCCACTCTGTTCATTATTCTCTGTGTCTTTGACATAACTTGACTCATACCAAGGTTAACTATCATGATGCAGGAAGGGAAAGGACAGACAAGTTAAATAGGGGCAAGCTGCTGTTTGCTCTGTTGCAGTTTAATAAACCTAAAGGTAAAAGGTGGAAGACAAAGTGTTGCTTTTGCAGCATTTTCTAGCTGCCAAAAATTTAAAATATTGAAGAATCAAATCACCTCAAAATATGTAGGAGTGGTCTATGCTAGACAGTGAGGTGGGGGTAAAAAGACTTGTAGACAAGGAACAAACGGGACTTCTGCCTTCTGAGTAAAGTGGCAGTGAGTTTTAGGCATTCCATCTATAGTAGAGCATTTAAATGGAAAAAAGCAGTGGAGGATGCTGAGACGGAAGTAGAATGAACCAAAAACTAGCATACTGAATAGTGAAGTTCTTTACAAAAATAGTTCTATTTTAAATGCAGTAACTTAAAATAAGATCTTATACATTCCTTCCTGATGAGATAACATAACTGTGGCCATAGTGTACAGATGGTGCAGTTTATTTACTAACTACATTTTTTATGTCAGTTGGCAGTAACATTTTAGTAATACCTAAATATGCATCTTAAGTGCCTCTCTCTAGGCATCTCTACTGGAAAATTCAGGCCATGGTTGCTTTGAACTGCTTTAACTGCTATTTTCTTTAAAAACCTAAAGTATGGCTGTAAAGATAAATATCCTTTAGCAAAATCAAGAGGGGACTGTGTTATCCTAATTTTTATTTAGTTGGTAGGGGATGGATTTGAAGCAATTGATGAAACTAGATAGAAGTTTGAACTAATATCAAAATGATATGAATTATTATAAACCACTTTCTCTCTCTGTGAAATGAACTCAGATCAGAGATCACAACATAATAAAACAACAACTGTCACATCCTTTCTCAGGTACCTGTTTGGTTTTAATTATTTTTTGTTGAGTCTAGAAAAAAAGAGTCTGCTTCCTGAGCATTATCCTCTGCATTGCTTGTATGAAATTTTATGCCAGAATATTTCATGCTTACCATTTCGCCACTTCACATGTCTGTGCAAGGCAGATTCTGATCCTATACAGTTAACATGCAAAGTGAGTTTAGCTCAAAGCATGTCTTGACAATATGCAGATATAATTCCACAGAGTGATAAATTGTAGGTTAATTCCACAGTGAAAGAACGGGGTGCTGTTTAGAGATTTGGTGTTCATTTCTGAACACTCTGCTGACAAGGGGCATCTAAAATGCAGCAAACAGCCCTGCCATGAGGCTTGTGCCATTATTGGTATCATCTTCATGAAAAGAAGTTTTGTCTTTGAAAGCAATGCTGGCAAAAGCACCGATAGGCTCACACTGCAAGGGGGTACTGCAACCATGGTGGAATTCCTGCCCCTTGGTGGCTTTCATGCTCTATGAGTTTGTGTAAGTACTTAAGGTCCAGGTCCTTTCTGGTACCTTGTGAAGGTCCCTTGGTGTATGAGGGACCAAGCACTGAAATTTCAGATTGTGGCATGAAGCACCAAGTGTATAGAGAGACAGCAGTTGTTTGTTAGGAAAAACTGTGGCTGCTGGAAATTCTTGTCATTATTTTTTTGTCAGTCTCCAATGTTGTCTATCTGGGACTTTGACATACTCTTACTTCTTTGTACAATACCCACAATCCTTCCTTTTCTTTGTTGTCTCTTACTTCTCTCTTTTACAGGGAAGGCTGAGCATCTTCTACTTTCCACTGGCAAAAAAATTACCTGTCTGTGTATGCAGTCAGTTCACCACTTACTTGAATTTGCAAAAAAAGAAACCAGAATGCATTCATTTAAATACTTAATTTTCTATATTCCAAAACATTGTATGTAGTTATTTTTAACCTGGTTTCCTAGGGAAAGATATTTCTGCAATCATTTTTCACTAACCACCCACTGTTAATAACTTCAGGAGCTTTTGTGTTGATCACAGACTTCAGGTGGGTCAGAGATCTCAGTTCTGAAATCCACAGCTTCACAAATGCAGACAGGCAGGTAGAAGGGAGAGGATCCAGTTACGAGGCTGGTGGGACTGTCACACGAGGTCAGGCCTTACTGCTTGAAGTAAGAGAATCCACATGGTGGAGACTTCACAAGGATGGCCACTCTGGGGAAAGGGCCATCAGCGTGGGGTGCTGGTGGGTACCACAAGAGAAAAGCAGGAAGGGCCAGTCCCAGCACCTGCCTTCGATGCTGCTCCTCATGACTGCTTCTTGGCTCTTCTTGACGTGCTGCTCAGGAGAACATCTCCAAATCATGAATGTAAATGCTGCACAAGAATGTACTGGCTTTTCAATTTGCCCTCGGACATTTCTTCTGCACCTCTTTGTGTGGTCTCAGACTGCTGGTCCTTGGCCCCCGTGTCCCTTGTGCACCACTCTCTCCTTTTTCTTGCCTCCTTCCAGTAGGACAACCCCAAGCACGGTGTCCTGGATCCTACTGACAGCATCCTTTGTGATTGTCTCCAAACCCTCTTACCTGTCTGACAAGGCATTATGGAATAGCTGTCTGATTTCTTCAGGAATATACCAATAGAAAGAAAGCTAGGCACGATAGCAGGTACTGATGAGCTTGAAACATGGCTATACTTTGGGAAACACCTGTTATGGATGCAGACCTGTGTTGAGAACAGCTCAGTTAGTGTCCTGACGTCATTACAGAAACATGGTGGTACCATAAGTGGTCCAAAGGTTAAGAATGCACCTTTCAAGATAAACTCATTGCATCAATTTTATCTCAAATCACAGAGTTTGTTACACAAACAAAACCCGAAGTCACCAGTGTTTTTTCTGGTAATGTCCTTTTATTCTTTCAACAGCAAAATTAAGATTATACTACAGGGTTACCCAGGGGAGGGACCATATTTGAAGTAAAACAATAACACTGAATTTAGGAACAGCAAATGCTGAACTTTACTGTATGAATCATGATACAGTAAATTCAACTTCTAACAATCTTCTAATTTTATGGTATGAAAGAGATGGAAGAATTCTGGTTTAGTTTGTCTTTATTTCTCCAGTTTCTTTGCTTTTTTATCTTGCTTTTTACCATTGGGTAGATAGTCCCTCTTCAGTTTGATACCACACACTTGCTGTGTAGTACATGGACCCATTCCTGCAACATGGCACATGTTTGGGAGTGAAGCTGTTTGGAAATGGCACTTTCAGTGTAGATAATTGCGGCAGGAATGCTGCTTTTGATGTGTCTTCTGACTTGAAGATGAGTTGGTAAAGCTGCTTTTCTCAGTAGTATGCCGGTGGCTGTTGGAAAAGAGTATGGTGACCTGTTCAGGAGACACAGGCACCTGCTTTCCTCTATGTGGGCACCTTTTATATTAAGTTTGTTGCTGCTTCAGCTTCAGTTTTACACACGCTGCACTGGTTCTCTCTTTACTATTTCAGCAATTAAATATATAGTAGCCTTTAGAAGTGTGTTTGCAGAAAAGTAGTACATTCTTAAACTAATAAAAAAATCCCTTTTTTTAATTCACCGGTGAAGTGAATTTCTGTTTGGCTTTAGCAGATTTTGAAATCCTGTGTACGTCATTTGTCTTGTTAATAAATTACAGGGCTTTATACCACATCACTTCACTGCAAATAGATTTGAAATATATAAAGACCAAGAATACACATATTTTTAATAATTTTCTGACATAGTAGCCAAAATAAAGTGCCATGAAGCTATTAACAGTAAATTAAATTTTTTTGTATGTAATCTGGTATAAATACTGACAAGCTGAAAAAAAAAAAAACAAACAACAAATGCATACTCATTAGTCATTCAGTTTAGCCATGCAGAGGCAGCAGTCGGCCAGGGTGTGCGTTTTTATGTCTGCTTCAATTGCACACTTCATTTATTTGGACATGGCATAGGCGGCTTTCTCTGTCACACGGCATCACTGCACGATTAGCAAGTTGCGCCCCAGGGCAGCTGGGACGCTTTGCTGGGGCAGATGTTCTTTTCAGCTTATTCAGTGGCCGTTGTGGGGTTGTTTACTGTTGTCATAGCTACCTGCATTTCCATAGCAGCCGAGCTGTTGTGTGTGAAGCAAGTGAATATAGTTATAAAAGGATCATATTTTGTTCTGTCTCTATAACTTACCATCTGTCAGCTGACTGTTCATGATGGATGCAGAAACCAATTTAAGAATAACAGCAGCCAGCTGATGATTTTTGCTTATATTAAAGTGACAATGGATGAGCATGCAAATGCTTCAATGAAATGCTAGTTTCTTTTTTTTTTCCTTAGTTGTAGCAGTTTGTCTTCCAACGCTTTCTCAAACTTCGCTGAAATCTTTCTTGACAAATCAAAATGACTGAGTGTCATCTTCTGTACTTGCTCAGGTGTAGGTATTCCTTACATTTCCCACTCTACAGTCGGCTCATCCTCTCTGTTGCTTCCAAATTGTGATGTTGCACCTGCTTTCACAGATCCTTAGTAATGAAATTTAATACTCTCCACAGATTTAAACGTTGAATTGATGAGGCTGACAAAAAAAGTGTCATGCACATACGAGCACAAGTTTGATTTGGTGACACAGGTCACTGTGCTCTACCTAAAAGTAGCAATGGGATCATATGCAAGTTTGTGGGTAGATTCAGTGTGTGATCAGCGAGCCCTCTGAATAATAAACTCTCATACCTTTTCACTGCAGAGATTTGGTTGAACCTACAGTTTAGCAACGGGGGCAAGAAGATTAGCCCAGTTGTAAATAATGTATTTATTGGTTGATTTTTCCAGATCCTGACATTGATGCTGCCACTGCCATGATGCTTTTGAATACTCCCCCTGAGATACAAGCAGGTTGTGAGTAGATATTTCTATAGCATATAGCAACATAGACGTGTAAAGTTAATATTCTCTTTGATAAGTATACAGCATACCAGATAAAAAGGATTTAATAAAGAAATACATCTTCCCTTATAGAACCTTACACTTCCTTGACCCTTACACGAGTATAATTTTGTGGTTCATATTACATTCTTTGTTACATGAATAATATTAATCCATGTTCTCTAATGTAAAAGAGGGGTTATTGTTATTCATGACATACACTTAAATGAGTAACATACTATTATCCATACTGATAGAAGGACCTGGGGCAACAGCCAGGAGAAAGGCAGGGAGAGAGAGCAAGAGAGTGAAGGGGTACATGGCATATGGTTTTGTTTTCATTTTGTTTTGATTTGACTCCCATCGTGTGAGTTACCACAGCCATCTGGATACTTTCCATTCACTTGGGCACTGTTTCAGCTCCTTCCTTGCACACATCCTGCCCGTTTTCCTTTTTTGCTGCTCTGGCTGATGCACAGCAGTAGCAGCTACAGGGAGCAAAGAGAGGTCTCATTTCCTGCCAATATTGTCCTCCCTGTTCTGTGACTAAACCTAAGGGTTTGATGCTGTGTATTAACAGAGCACTGAAGGGGCCTTGGCCCCCACTGTACTGAGCTGTGCAAATACTGCAGGAATCGTCCTGGCCCACAGAGTTTGCAGTGAAGATATTAAAGGAATCCATAGCGGAATACAACTGCACAAAAACAGGCAATGCAAGAAAACAAACACATCGCTGGTCAGCAAGCACAGTTGTAATGCCAAGTGACAGGCAGCTGTAAAAAATAAAGGCAGAAGTTAAAATAGAAGCCATTATCAAGCCTGTCTAGCATCACTGCTATTGTTCTAGCCTGGGCAACCAAATCCAAATTCCAAGGGAAGCCGTGATTTGCACTTTGATACTCTGCCTGGGGAAGGGAGTCAATTATCATCAAAGCATTTCCCATGCAGCCGAGGAAAGATACAGTCAGCCTGCTTAGTGACCCTGCCAGAGGAATGCCTTTTGAGAAGCTTCTCTCAGTAGTGCATGATGTACCAAGAAACTCTCTGTTCTGGAAGGAAAAGAATGGTCCTTGTCCTCTCCTAAGCAGCCTTCAGGGTCTGTGCGTGGTAAAAGGGCGACCAATCCCCTCTTTGTGTAGGTAGGAAAAAGGAAAGATTTTATTGGGAAGAGGGGGTTACTCTTGGGCTTAGTGGGAAGAATAAAATGAAACATCTTCCAAAGGATCCCAGTTTTAAAGAAGCCAAATTTGTGGGGCAGAGAAGAGAAAGAAAGGAGTTGCTGTAGAATGAAAGTGCAGGGGTAAAAGGGTATATGTGAGAGGAAAGAGGACATAAAGCAGTATGTGTGTAGAAAAGGATGGGGAAAACACAGAGGAATATGAACTGGAGGAAACTGGAGAATGGAAGAGGGTCACAAACAAGAAAGGAAGGAGATCCATAGTACTAAACATATACTAAACACACTGCAAATTTTTGTCATGTGCACGTTTGCCAGCAATGCAGTGGAAGTGATTTGGAGACTTCTGCACTTTGATAGAAGTTCCTTTTACTCTGATTGAGTTCAACAATAGGAGGCCTCAGTTGGGGAATATAGAGAGAAACCAGAAAAGATGGCAGAGATGGTGCAGAAGAAGAAGAGAACCTTCTGTATATTTACTTACCGCAGGGTAGACCTGGATCAGCTCCTCGACATGTCCTGCGAGCAGCTGATGCAGTTGTACAGCACGCGTTGTGTATTCTCCTGGGCCTGAGGCCTAGTTAAAGGACGCACTCTTTTTTTCTTATCCTGTACACTAAATTTGCCTGGAGTCTTTTTCTTCACAGTCTCTTTAGGCACCTATTTGGCCTAAATCTGCAATGTGTTTAATACGTGTCTCATAGACACCATAGTTTGAAGGTTGGCAAATCTCTACCTCCATGCCACCTTCCCAGTGGGCTCTTGTGTCAGGATGTCAAAAGCGAGAGGGAGATAAAAGCAAAAAGATGGCTCCTCATTCACATTTCTCCTTTCTTGATGTCCACAAGTAACAAGGCCCTCCCTCCTCTGTGCCTTTAAACTCAAATGCAAGGTCTGTTCAGAAGTTCATGAATCCTTCCAGATGTTGGTAGAATTGCCAGGAGGAAAGGGCAGAAATTTTTGTTGTAACCTCAGAGGTTTTCTAAATTACAAAGGAGAAATATTTTGGGGGCCATATGAGTAGAAACCTTGAGGAAGTAAATCGGCCTGTCCTATGAATTCCAGTTGGGTCTCACTTAAGTATCATGTCAGGAAAATCTTATGCAACTTAATTAACTGTTACTGCACATTAAGAAATAATTGCATGAAAAAAATCACACTTGAGATTAGTTCTCAAATAAAAAGCAGTTTGTTTGTAAAAGTTTCACCTCAATGTTGAGCATCATCTAGAAGCTCACAGTCCATTCTCTCCTCTGTCAGTGACTGCAGTGGTCTGTAAATGAAACTCTGAGCGATCAGGGCAGTTAACTGTTTGATCCCTTGAAGACTGAGAGTTTTCTGTTGCTGGTATCAGACTGTGGTATCAATTATGTGCATAAGGGCTGCAAAGTGCCCCGTCCTCCAAAGACAAGATTTGAAGAGGGAAGGACATAGTTTGCTGTTTGGCCACACATGTTAATACCTGACTGAAAACATTCTTTTGGTGTGAGAGTCTGACTCCAAACATACCACTTACTGGCACAGCAGAGAGTCAGATGAAGGCAGAATCGGAGGACATTTCACCTTATAAAAACTCTGCAACTCAAGAAGTTTAAACTGGTTCATTAAGAGCTTTGCCCTATTCTACAAACATTTAACCACTGTTGTGACAAATGGATACCTCCAAAGCAGATTGTGACAGTCTGGATTCATTTTTTGTGGACAGTTACATGTATTGGCTTTTGTCTTTGAACACATCTTGCTTTTCAAGCAGCATAAAAATCAATGTTCATCTAGGCAATATGGGTGCTAAAAGCATCTTTGGGTTGAAGTTAGCTACAACAATTATTCAAAGTCTTATTGAAATTAATTCTTTTAATAGTCTGTCAGAAAGGATTCCCATCTCACCGGCATTAGAAAATCCAGAGGAAACTATTCCTGCTTTGTAACAGATTGATTAATTAGCTCTACTTTTCCTTTTATATGAAATCTTAAAATGTTGTCTGACAAACATTGCTTACCATTTATCCCAGTTCCACCATTCTTTAGTTTTCATTCAAAAAACCAAAAAGGCAGAATAAAAGACTAAAACACTGTTATTAGGATTATTTTGTGTTTGTGCGGGTTTTACTTCATAGACTCGCAAAATTGATTGTTCACTTTGCTGCTAAAGGATAGGAATAACGCAATTATAGTTAGTGTTAACATTAGAAATCAATTTCTAAATTATTAACACTTTGCAGTACATTTACAGACCAAATGCTTCCATATTGTAACTAAAGGCAGAAGTTCAAAGTAGCCAGTTGTGTACAAGTTTCTATTGAAACACACAATCCAGCTGGCACCAGGAGCTAAATCGTGAAAGATACTGTGATATGCTAAGGAAGGGCATGTAGGAACATAGATTTAATACTTCTTTTGCCTCACTTTATTGAAGTCCTTGTGTTTGATCAGGTTTTGAATGGTTAAATTATGTTTAACAAGAAACAGCGACTGGAACACCTACTTTCTTCAGTAGCAGCTATCATAAGTTACAAATAGTTTGGATTTTTGTTGATAGCCAGTTCATGAATATTAATTCCAAAATACGTGATTTGCTTTAAAAACTGTATCTTGACCTGCAGGGGACTGGGTACTGTCTGGGCCATCTTGGGCAAGTTGTATCATGTTTCTGGGCCTGTTTCCCTGATGGGAATCTAATTCACAAAGAGGAGAAAAGAGGAAAAAGGGATGGGGAACAAATGGTAGGGCTCAATTTAGAAATCATGGGTATTAAGTTAGTGAAGTCCATAGGTTAGTTTTGTGCAGTTGTTTTTTTGTACAAAAGTTTTCAACACTTCAGTTCTTACCAATGTCTTGAAAGTAAATATTACCAGCTACAGCATACCATTCCCTACTCTGAAGAGTGTAGCATCCTTGGCATGTCATTCAGTCTTGCCAAACCATTGTGGTTTGCCATGATTAAAATGGAGATTAGTTTTGGTTATTTTGCAGTGGTTTTAAGTTCCTGAGATTCAAGTCACTGGAAGCACGTAAGTAGCAACACCTTCTTAATTGGTGAGGTCATTCCAAACTTGGAGCCACTTGCTCTTCAGGAAGGGCCAGTGAAGAAGCAAGTACTGCTGGTGAACAGTGCTGTGGTCATAGGGATTATCCTGGAAATACTGATTTAATTCAGGAAACTTCTTACTCAGTGCTATTACACAGAGCTTCAAATTCATGTGTACTCCTTTTCCTATTGCTGTGTAATTTGTGAATTGCACATAAATGTAAGTATATTTCTCAAGCTGAAGTTTAATACTGCAAAAGCTATAAAACTGCTTGCAGAAAAAGTTTGGGTAGGAACTTGAAAGTCCCCTCAGCTCTGAACATCTTCTGGTTTCAGTACTACTCATCACTACTCATTCAGTTGTCTGGAAAGGGGTGGCCTTCAGAAGACTTTGCAACACTGGTTTTGTGGGCAGTTCCTTATAGGAGACTAAAGTGCTGTGGTGAAGATGTTTGGGAAGATTCGAGCATGGAGTTTTGCTTGGTGTTTCTAAAGAAGCAGGTTTTCCAAGGGTGAAACTAGTGTCTCTATGGTTTGGAAATCTTTAGTAATCTTTGTCTTAAAGCATTTAAAACCCAGACTAGATACATATATTTTAAATTTGGTAGGAGGAAAAAGAATCCCCTAAAGAGATCTACTAATGCTTTTCCACTATACTTCCAAAATTTTAGCCCAATGAAATTTGCTGTTTAAACCAGTGCAAGTGGATTTTATATGAGGAAGGTACATATACAGGAATCAAGACCAAAATAAAATTGCCTTAATGAC